TTTGGTGATCGCCCTGACAAACTGTCACACCTTTCATCAAAATCAGCACAGAATGAAAGGAAAAACATACAAGAAAACCAGGAGCAATATCAGCAGCTCCCAGACAAGATCCAGGTACTATCCTCCTCCTCCTCTCTGCACAAAACCAGCAGGTTCTTTTCAACTTTAAAAATAGTTTGAACATATAAAGTAACTAAAGCTACAGGGAGCTTTTATTTTTCTCCTCAAGCAGCTTAGAAAATTGCTTTGTGTACTATGATCACTGCAGCTTTCTGCTTGGGAGCTTGCCACAGATTTCACAGGAGAGGAGCTCGTTGGGTTTTACTTGCCTTCACATCACTGTGATATAGGGCAAACTAAAAGGACCTCTCCTCATCCTCAAGCTCCAGGGCTTTCTGTTGTTGTTTTACTTTACATTTATGGATTGCTATCATATTGCTACAACAATAATCAAACTGAATAGAATTGCAGTAAATTTTAATACAAGGAAATAGCAGACCAAGGAACAGCAGTATCTGAGTGCCTTTTCATTCCTTTTATCTCCTTCTCCACTACTAAGCCTTGCACAAAACGGTAACGGAGGGGAGCATTTCCCAGGGATCACTGCTGAGAGCAAGCCATGTTTCCACCAGCACGGAGCGCAAACCTCCCTACTGCCTTTCATTGCTCCGCCCTGGGATGAGCAACTCCCCGGCACTGCTCTGCCAGGCCAAAAGCCCTTCCTGGCCCATTGCTGCAGGGGATTCCTGCCTCCTTTTGGGACCTGCTCTCCCGCTTCCTCATTTGCCTCAGGCACAAGATGAAACGGGCATCCCGAGTGGCAAGGCAGCCTCATTTCTAGGCATTTTGGTGTGTTTTGGCAAGTGGTGGAAGCCTTTATGCAAAGCCCACCAAACGTGCTTTTGCCAGCGGCTGCCAAGGCTCTGATACTGGAGCGAATCCTGCTGGTGACACGCAGTGATGATGGCACCGATAGCTCATTGACTGGCTCCGGCGGAGAGGCCTGCAAAGCAGCACATGATCACCCACAAACAGCAGCTCAGGCACCCCAAACAAAGGTCAACAGCTGATACAGAGCCAGAAGGATTTCCCCCTCACAAAGGAGGAGGAACTGCAGCAAAGTACAGGGATTACTGCGCTGTGCTGCTTTACAAGCCACAACTTCACACCATAAGGCTTCTCAAAGGCAGTGCTTTACAAGAAACTCTTCCTGAAGGATTGACACGCAGCCCACATCACAGTGTGGAAGGCACGACAGCCTTCAGAGAAATGTTCTCCTACCTTGTGTTACTGCTTCTCTCAAAGCCCCAGGATTTAAGAAAGAAGCCACTGTGAAGTAGGCTATGTAGGGAGCCGGCAAAACTCTCATTTCTCTGTTTATGTGCAGCACTACTGACACAAGGACGAGCTCGATGTCAGCAAGACACCTTAGCAGCGCGTCAGGCACTTAGCTCTACTCAGTGTGACTCGAGACTTCGGGCAAAACCACAGTGCTCACTCCCAAAACACCATTCTTCTTAATAAATAAATAAATAAAAAATCACCACCACCCACACAAACCCCAAACCGCTACTTTCCAGATCACCAGAGAGGCTAAAGATCACTCCTTTGGAGCACAGATAGTTTTGTGCTGCAGTTTGTTCACAGTAATGTGTTTTTTTGTAGTGGTTACACAGCAACTAACCCTGTATGGTTTTTGATTTCATCTCTGAGAAAGTACCACAAGGCAACCAGTGATGACTCAGATAACTAAACAACATCAGTGACCGAATGACTCGCCTTCCACACCTGAGGAGAGAGCTGGGTGAGATACTTGCTTGATAGACACCAGTATAGCTCCAATGTCAGTCGAGCTTTGCTAGTTTTCTATATTCAGAGAAGCTTATATGACTCAGTTCTACACATCTTAAAATCCACGTAGATGTAACAGTCACAGCAAAGCACTAATCTGCATTAATTTTTTTTGGTTCCCAAATATCCCTGAATAGAGCAAGACTTTAGAAAATAAGTGTTCCAGAATAAAAAAAAATATTGACTAATTCTTCTTATCTGGAAACTGCCTTTTTTTTCTTTTTTTTTTTTTCCCTTTGGTAATAGAGGAGATGACACAATGGCAACTAATGATGGCGAGTGGTGGCATTACAATAATTGGCGGCTCGCAGCGACCAAAGCCATTTACCTGAATTATTTATGGGTAAACTCTGACAGGAATTTCACAAGAGCAAATAAGGCGAGTCTATGGGGTGTCGTTCACAGGATGCAAGCGCACCTGATTGACGGCGGGGCCCAGCTGCAGCTGATGCTTTAAAGGCCCCTGGGAAGGGTTCATTTCATGACAGTCGCACACGCTTTGTTGTACTTCGGCACGGCTTAATTATTCGTTCATCATCTGGGTATCGCTTATGGCCACGAGTGTCCTGACATACACAGGAACTATTCAGGGCATGCTGTTTGTTTTAAAATAATTCAGCCGTGTGTATATGAGCATGTGGTGCCACATCAGAATAGGAAATTATCCGCCCTTTCTCTTGCACAAAAGGCTTTTTGTGTCTTGTGCCATCATGTCTCACCCAAGGGAAGCTCCGGGAGACCGGGCTTCCTTCTTCATTGTCCCTAAGCACCCGCCATAGCCTAAAAGGCAGGCAGCCTAGAAAACCAGCTACGTTATGTCACGGGCTTCACACCCACTGGGACAGCCTGCTGAGAGACTAAGGAAATAAAACATAAACTGTACCTTAGAGAGCCTTTATTTGCAGCTCTTTCCTGCCCACTGACCATGTGAGGTCCTGGAAAGAGAGGTTTTGTGCCAGACCTCTCTGGACAGCTGTCCGAGCCACCAAGCTCCCCTTGGCACTGGTGGCTTTGTGGCTCTCAGCAGGGAGCCCATGAGGGATGCAGCCCAAGCCGCTTTCTCAGCTCAAGCCACACACTCCTAACCAGGCCCAGGGTGTCCGGGCAAAACAGTTCACGCTGCTGCTCTGTGTGCTCTGTGCACGTGCTGGTGACACAGGGCTAGCTCTGGCCTCTGAGATGGTTCACAGCTCTGATGTTTCTTCAGGTTGCCTCGTTACTGAATTTGCTATGGAAAGTGTTCTTAGAGAGTCAATTCTTGGGGGGGGACGGGAACAAAACCAGAGTCTTCTTAAGTTAAATCACTGAGGTGGGCTTATACCACTCCACTTCTTCACTACAAATTTTGGAGCAACAAGCCAAGTGATCACCATAACAAGCTATTATTAACATGGTTTGAGCTGTTCCCAGAAAGTGGGGTTTTTTTTTTCCCCTCTTACTAAAACTATACTACCCAGTTACACATATTATGCCACTTAACATTGGTTTTATCAGTTCACACAGAAAATACAGACAATTTTGCTTTGTTGCCAGAGCAAGGGGTTACACATCCTGGGAACCAATGCTACTCTGCTGCACACCGGAAAACTCCCAGCTGTGTCCTGGAAAACCTGACGGCACAGAGAACCATGGAGAAACAGTTTTGGCCAAAGCAGATAGACCCCACTGAAGGACTACAGCAAACACAGGAACGTGTATTATTTCTAGAGGAACATCTGTTCAAGGTCACGGGTTTATGGCTGCACTGGAACAGGGCTAATTATCGCAGTTCCTAAGCAGCTCTCCGTCAGCGATGCACACACACAAATCACGGTGACAGCATGCTGCATCTGCAGCTGTGCACAAATGGGCTAATATTGTAACTCCCAGAGAGCGTAAAAGAGCTCTACTCCGCTCCCACCAAAGCCAGCAGGAATTTGACCATTATCTTAGAGAGAAGCTGATTTAAACCAGGAATAATAAAACAATGGAAGACAAGTTTAGGGCCTGTAAAGTCTGTTTAAAGTCTGGGCTTTACTGAAACTGAGTCAGTAAGTCCTGCCAGTCTATAGCTCTCATGAGACCGCTTAGACAGGTACCTAAATATTGGTAAAATGTAGGCATTGACACAGAAATCTTTTTTTTTTTTTTTTTTCTTTCTAATGTATCTTCATTTCACCTTTTTTTTGGTCACCTTTTCTGCACAGGAATATAGTTATACACACACACACTTCTTTTACATGTGTTGGATGGACTGTTGGATGCTGAAGATTTTACCTTTGTCTTTTCTATCCTCTCATTGAGGATATATGCTCTTTAAATATTTATTCTACCTTGAAGCCATGTATTTTTTATTTTGCGGAGATATGTTTTAGGTGGTCTGGAGGCAAAGGACTTAGTACACAGTGAATGGTATTTGTGCAAATTAATGATTATATGTAATGATTACTCAAGTGAACTTTTTGTTTTTGAAGAGATGAATAAATATATTATATATAACAGTCCTGCTTTGTGTCCTCTATTTATTTGTTCAGTTCTTTGGAGCTGCATGGACTACGAGACAGATGGATCGCACAGACTGACAGCTTGCTTATGTGCTGAACTTTTCAGCACTAACTGCAGATTGAAATGCAACAGCAACAACTGGAGTATTACTACTTTTAGAAAAGCAACCTATCTGCATTAAACATTTTCCAGTGATGCGAAATCCGCCATTGTTAATCTGTTCTCATGATTAGCTATGGTTAGAAACAGTAACTCAGCATTCTAGTTGAACTTTTTCCTGCAACCCTTGCAGACTGTTAAAACTTTACCTGTGAGCTGCTTGGTCTGTCTGTCACCAGATACTGGGCAGGTACCTGACAAGACCCTGAACCTGTTTTCCCTCCAAGCCCAGTAATAACAGTGTCCTGCTGTTGGTCTGAAGACGAGCTGAAACAGTTGAGGGTGGATTTTTGTTGGCTTCATGACAACACACTGGAGTCACGAGGGTGCTGACACAAGCAGCACGTCAGTCCAATCCAGAGCCCTCATCTAGGCTGAGGATACAGTACACTAAAGGCAAGTGTGGCCATTCCCAGGGACTGCTGTGTGTGGCTCACAAGTATTCGTCTTCAGTCCTTGACACCAAACTTGCACATGGAGGTGTTAATGACACCAGAAACCAACACAGCTGTTAATGCAACCATTTTTCTAATCTTGCTTTCCTTGTTGTTTACCTAAAAAACAGCAAGTCCTCCCAGATACAACATTTCACTGATGCTTTTAACAAAAGATTCACTTGCTTCAGTCTTTCCCATTCCCTTTTGTGGTCATATAAGCTGCACATTGTTTTTCTTTTCATGGACCACCAAAATGCGTGAAAGCATGTTCAGATTCTGTTAGTTTTTGAAGGAAAAGCGTGCACCAAAAAATTGTGATGACATTGTGAAATACATCCACATAGGAAGAACTTCAAATTGATTTTTTATGCCACCAACATCTGCTGCTCAGTTCATTGCTTGATTTTCCCATCAGAGTCTATGGAAGATGTTGACTGTCAACATGATATGATGATTAGCTGGACTTCTAGAGCAAATTGATAAGCTATTATCAAACCTATGTTTAGAAAAACACATATGGAAATAAATATCTGAATTTTGTTGAATTATTTAACTCAAAGAAGGCTTCTAACTTCTGTCTCGATAAAACTAAACAAAGGAATCTCGCTCACAGTATTAGTGTGGTCTCAATAAAGAGGGCAGTAGTGCACAGTAGGTAGGGCTGCATTACCTACACAAAATAGGATGATTTGGAGCAAATTAACAGCTCAAATCAGGTTTTATATAGGAAACAAAAGCCATAAGGAACTGTCTTAATATAGTGCCAAACACATTAAAATGATGGCCAAACAAAAAAAAACCACGCACACACAAAAACTCCAAACAAACAATCCCACACTTACTACAAAAAAAAACAAAAAAAAAAACAAAAAAAAAAAAAAACCCAAAAACAAAAAAAACCCCACATATAATCGCACATAATTACACATATTATTTTATGTACATAACATTACTCAAGTTTTCCCAATCCAGGCACTGGTTATACCCACCTCAGTCCAGGTGTGTTCCAGCTGAGGTCTCTGCTTTGGTGGTAACAGTTCAGACAAACCTAGGGTTAAGGAAACATGTTGGGTACCATTTCCACTCTGACTGCTATTCACAGAGTATATACACCCAAAATGGGTGTACATGAGCCCTTGATCTTCACTGGACACTTCACAGTTACATCAGTACAACACTCTAGACCAACACTGGTAAGATTATTTGCATTTGGGATAAACAGGTATTTAGTAGGTGATGGGGAGGACACACAAATAGCACTAATACCGGGACTCTCTTATTACTGATATTGAAGCTCATACGTGCTAAAAGAAAACTAAAGATTTGTCTTCCTACAGAAAGCAAGTTAGCACAAAGAAAAAGAGGAAGAACAAGGGAAAACAAACGAACAAGAAAGAAAAAAAAAGGAAAGAAATTCTTCCTGTTTTCTGGACACCTATGGAGCGTTCCTTTATCTACTCCCCCATCTTTCTGTTCTTTCCTTTTTATTCTTGGAGGTATTAACCCTCTCTCACCCCCATCCCCAGGTTTAATGAGCTCCAGCTGTTGTCCCTTACCCCATCCCAACCTGTCTCTCAAGCCCTACAGATTCAGCAATTGAAGTAGGTTAGGGACTGTGGCAAAGTGTGGTGACTTTAGAGTAAGGATCCCAAGGCCTTCCAGACCTACAGAAAGACAGCAGGTTTCCTCAACCAGTTAGAATTTACTGTTTTTCCGTTCACTTCTCACTATCAAGTCACAAAAGCACAAATTACATCATATCAAACACTATCTGGGCTAGAAGATCTGTGCCTTTTTGCTTCAAGAAGAAGAAACACCATCTCTGGGTTCACTGGATGGTGTGTGCTTCCTGAGAGAAGAATAAACAAAACTGCAAAGCTCAGAAAGGCAATTCAATGTATCTTTATCATGACAGAACATGGAAAACAGTAATACCATTTGTAAGTACTGACTCTGTTTTATACTAAAATTATCTTGTGGTTGGAATGGCTCAAATTCATTACAAGCCTTTCACTTGGAAATTCTAGGTGATAAAATCACATTTTGGTGGCTGTGAGCTGATAAAAGACAAGCTTAAATGTGGATTTATGCAGCCAGTGAAAAGAAGAACAGTTATATGAGGCAAGGAAACACTGTGGATGAGCTATAGCGGTGCGAGGATAGAGATCAGAGTTACCCTTGTGATATCCATCACTGTGGGAGAAAATGATGATTCAGCCAGCACGCCAAATTCTTTGAATCCCAGGCATATAAGTGTTCGCTAGGGGGGGAAAGAATAAAACGTGGGTTAGTCAATTATTGCTCTGGCTTATGCTTCTGAAATGCAGCTTGTCAACAGTGAAGCAATTGTGAGCCTGACATACAATACGCTCAAGAACAGAGCTAAGCATATATAAATTTTATTTTGTCAGCAATTCTGATACTTTGGTTTTATTTCTCAGCACAAAATCAAATGAGAGGTTGAAATAGTGTGTTTTTCCACTGGCTAGAATGTGGAAACATAATCTATTTGACTACAGTGAAACATATTTTTATTAAAGTTAAGCAGTAATATTTTATAATCAAAACTGTAATACTCATTGGGTAAACAAACCCCAAATATTGAGCACTGAATCACTCAGTATTACAATGATACACATTTTCCTGTAATGGCATAAAACCTCCTGAGGCCCCCGAGAGTTTCCCATTCCTTTCTCTGCAGTGACTTCTTGGCCAGCGTTGGTGCCTCTGAACCACGCGCCTTGCTCACTGGAGGCAAGGCCCCTTTTCATCATAGGAAATGCAACTCAGACAGGCAAAGCAGCTTGCAGCAAGGGGAAAAAGGGCACTGGATATTCCCAACTGCTGCTGAGTTACATAAGCAAATGCAGCTTACCCTGATTTAACCTGGTGGCTCCCTCGTCAACAAAGGCCTGGTCAACAAAGGTTAAGGTTTTCTTTTTTCAGTCTTTCGGCTTGTTTAACAACTCCAGGAATGACCATGCAAAGAGGACAAGCTGGTTTTCTACGGTTTCCAGGTAGAAATGAAAAGGACACCTCATGGAATACTGCCACCAGTTTATCTGTTTTTTTAAATCATAAATTATTGGACATTTTACCTTTTTTTTTTGTTGTTTGTTTCTTCCAAAGGACTTTAGGGCCATGCTTTGCTTTTTGGTTTAACCAGTAAATGTGCATACAATTCATCTCTCAGTACCGTAGGATCTGCTCTGTCCTTTCCTCTCAACTACGTGTATTTATTTCTCAAATGTACAGCCCAATGAAGGGGGATTTCTAAGCAAATACCTAACAAAATCAACTCCTGCAATAGCTCAATGAGAGTAAAACAGATTGGCTAAAAGCGTCTATCTCGCTGACTTATTTGCCTCTGGATGTCCTCCCTTCTCGGATCATTGATGACTCAGAACCATAGTGCTTGCAGGTAGCTGGGATATCTGCAAGGTAGCTGGGCCCAAACAATTACAATTACAACTTCAGTAACCTGCAGACAGATTTTTGTTTCTTTTTCTTAGCAGCAGAGTTAAAATTTTCCTGGAGTAAATACAGAGAATTGTAACATTAGTGCTGCTTAGAGAATCTAGTGACTCCTGATCATTGCACACCTCAAAATTCAAGGAAGCAATGATATTCCTTCCATAAAACTACAACTCGTATATGAGTTTTAAAATATTCCTTGGGTATGCTGAGGGCAGGGAGGGTCCGGAGAGAGCACAGAAAAATGTTGTTTACTGGTTCAAGGGAAATTTTTGTAACATCAGTGGGAGGATGATCTTTCTCAGTCCAGCTGTGAACATACAATTCCTTTATACAAGCAGTATTTATATGAATTAACACAAATGAAACAATATAAGGGCTGTAGATATAGCTAAAAGTCACTGTAGATAAAAAAAAAAATGCAAATCAGCATACTCCAAAGCTGGATATATGGCTCAAACTAATCTCTCATATACACTATTGGTATTTTGTCCTCAGAAATTCATAAATGGAAAAAAAAATCATCAATCTTTGAAAGATGGATCAAAAGCTGATTCACTAGAACAAATTTTCCTGTCCAAAATAATGAATTCTTTGATATGAATCTATACTTGGTTCATTTCTGCTATCCATATTTCAATTCAGATTTCTGTCAGTGTGTGTGCTCTTCGTAGTTCAAGAGATTTGATCAAACTGCAACCCCAAGAGGGGTAATAATCCTGCTTGCTTATCCCAACATTTTTTTTTTTATAATTAGGATTTTTAACTATTATGTTGAACTAAATTAAATTAATGAAGCCTCATACAAAGAAAAGATTCCACAAGTTTGCAGAACTCATTGTTAGGGGAAAAAAAAAGGCTTACTTACAAAATGAATCTACTTAATATGGAAATAGATTATCAAATCCTCAATTCCTCAATTCAAATTAAAAGAAAAAAGTCTTAGATTAACAGAAAACAAATATTTTTATCAAATAATTTTTAAAACCATATTGGCTTTGTTAGAGATACTGGTCAATTTACATTAAAAAAAAAAAAGATAATTCTGGGGGAAGAGAACTCTATAAAATAAAGACTACTTCATCCTATAACCTCATGTCCTATTTCAGCTAGTATATCTTCCAATTAACAGCCCAAGTTCATTAAGTCCATAGCTCAAAAAGGAAGCTTTAATATTTTTATTGTAACACATAAAATAGTCTACATAATATAGTACATAATATAGTACTACAATCATAAAAAACTTCATGATGTTCTCTAGATTTCCTTTTGCCAGCTCCACGAAGCAATTCTTACTTCCATTTATGTATACACTGTAACAGGCTTATAAACTATCAGCACACCTTTTTTTTTGTGTTTAATGAATAATTATAAACTTGGAGCTTTCTTCATTTCTCAGTCTGTCAATATCTTTTGCTACTGATTTTCTCACTACATTGTCAGCAAATACTTTCTGGTGCTTTTGCAGCTAGAACACAGTCCTTTTTTATGAAATGCCACTACTTTTTAGAAGCAGAGGAAATATTGCCTCTTTGATACATGATATGAGAAAACATCTGTTCAAGTTGGCCCAAATTCATAATGTAATGAATTCGGCTGAGAGAAACAGGCAGTATATTCCAAAAGTTTCTCTCACATTAAATACCTGTGTCAGACGATTGCTTATGTCCTGCATTTTCCATTTAAACCTCTGTTGAAAACCATTTTGTTAATATTTTTATCTTTTAAGGAACTCTAGCATTATTTGTATATGGTTATGAGTATTCATACCATGTTCTCAAAGTCACCCAGAAATTATTTAATGTTTGCCCCTTCCCAAACGTCTTTACTGACAGTAAGTAAAGCTGAGATTAAAACTAAATCAATCCAAAATGCACTGGTTACCTGAATTGGACTTTATATCATTTGGATATAAAGTCCAAATAAAGTTGACTTTATATCATTATTCTAACATGTTTTGTTCATAGAACAAAGACTCAAACCTGAGAACTCAGAGGAGTGAACCCATTCCAAGTTGTTTCCATACTAGCAAAACCCTTCAAAGACGGTGCACTGCATTTCTGAGAGTTACAGCAAAAATCCATTGTTCGTTAAAACAATACCACATTTGTCTGTCTAGTTTTCAGACTATATTCTTTTCAAACACACAGTGAAAAGGAGTCATGCAAATGGGGTTTATTTTCCAGCTTTATTTTACACGGTTCCTGAAGGGCAGAACAGAAAACTAGATATTTTGTTGTTTATTTACACCCAGACTGAGCTACATGCTCTGTTTTCATCCAGCAGGTCCTGAGAGTTCCTTCTCCTCTTTCTGGATGAACTCCTGCCCAGCTAGAGAACTCCAGGTGCAAAGGGCTTAGAAAAGTTCAATCAGGAGCACCTTCCAGTTTGATCGGTATTCCTGATGTCCTTAGGGAAACAGTTGGAGCAGATCTGCTGGTTTTCCTGTATTTAGCTTCTCCAAAGTGTTCCTTTAGCCTCTTCTTATCAGGCATTTACCTACAGTTCTTTTATTATTTCTAAATTTCTGGGCAAAACTTATTCCCTCCAGGTTAATGTGAATCTAATAATTGATTTCCACAGGACTGAGATTTTATTATATACCTGTATTTACTCAGTCTTAAAGACAGATCTGAATAACAAGCCAAGTAGTTTCAATACATTTATTATTATTTATTATGTTTAACACCTCCTTTCTTAGTGTAGACCTACTTTCTTTCCTGTCTTAGCTTGTTCTTTACATGTAAGGAGGCTTTCTAATTGTATTTCCTTAGCACCTTTGGCAAGAATTAACTACGTGTGCTTCCTGCTGACCTTACAGTTTCCTTGCCAACACCGGCAGCTTCCTACAGAGTTCATTTCTCCATTATTTCAATATGGATTATTATCCATCA